ATGTCAATATCAGTTTAGACAAAATTATAAAAAAATATAAAATTTAACTTCTTAAAGTAAATAATTATTTAATTACAAGCTTATGATAAGTTATATATTTGTATGATTTTGAATGAATATTATTAATGTTAATTCTAAATAAATTTTTATTTGAACAGCTATATTATTCAACTCAAAATAAATAAAATTTATATATGTAAATGGTTGCTAGAAATGGGTGCCACATCTGCCCCTGAACCAAATATTTATTAAGTATATGTAGTATATATACTTCTTTGGCTTCCCTGGCTTTACTTCACTTCTGAAAATAAATAAAATTTATATATATAAATGACTGCTGAAAACGAGCGTCACAGGCACCCCTACATTATCTAGTGCCCAAATAATAATGAATGCGTAAAAAAAGAGTCTAAATACTATAAAATACAATAGCTATTAGACTTTGAAATAGTAATACAATACATCAATATACTTATTGTAATTTTTTTAATCCCAGCAATACAATACAACAGTTATTGTAATTGTTTTACATCACAGCAATACAATACAATAGTTAATGTAATTGTTTTACATCACAGCAAAACAATACAATAGTTTTAGAGCTTCAATGTATTTTTAGAAAAAAAAAACAATACAATAGTTATTGTAACTGTTTTTATTAACAGCAATACAATAACCATAAATAATGTTTTAATTGCATCTCTGGTATTGCAATACAATATTATTGTATTGTATTTGTTATTGTATTTAATTTTTACAATAACAATAACAATAGTCCTAACCCTAATATACATATACATATATATATATATATATATATATATATATATATATATATATATATATATATATATATATATATATATATATATATATATATATATATATATATATATATATATATATATATAGGTTGTAACCCAGGAAAAATTTTCATACAGCGTTTTTGCGAAATTGGGAATTTAGGTGCGGTTAAAAAAAAAAAGGTGAGTATGCTTCTATTTTTTAGATATATTTAAATTTTAATTAAAATAAATGTTCATTTTTTGCTGGGTGTTATAGTTATAGCAAGATTATATTTCTACTTTATAAATGTTTAATTCTAATTATTTAGCTTGTTTCATTACGGGCAATCTTCTAAAGTTTTTATTTTTATATCAATACTTTTTGTTTGAAATACTGTAGCTGTTTTTCAAAACGCCTTAATAGGCTTATTACGTATTTCGAGAAAAACCTAATTAAAAAAAATTATTTGGAGAAACTCTTTGTAAAACGCTTTTTGAAACTAATAATTTTTATGAATTTTTTTAGAACTCTTTAAAAATATGTATTCAAAAACGTTTGTAAACATCTAAACTAGCTTATTTGGTAAAAAAAGTCAAATTGACTTTTTTTTAGATAAGACGCTTTGAAACGGCTGCAGTAAAGGAGAGAGAAAACAAGAACTAAAGACAACTGCTTGCTGTTTTAATGAATGTATTATTAAATTTCATTGAAACTTTGATCTAGATTAATTGCATACATCGCTAAATCGACTGAGGGTTTTGTTTGGGCAGGCAGTCTATTAAATAATTAAAAAAAAAATTCTTTACATTGTATTTGTCTAGTTTCACTTAATTTCCTTTTATTTTTTTTAAATAATTTTTTCGCTTAAAAGTCTTTAAAATATGCCGCTAAATGAGCTATTTAACGGAAATAAAACATTACATAATTAACAACCAATAGGACGATGGTTCGCAAAAAAGTTCGCATTTTACCAGTTCGCAGTTCGCATCATATTTTATATTATAATTTTTATCATTAGATAAATTTAACAGTTTAAAAACTTATTTAAATCAATAGCTTTTAAATAAAAATTAAATGAAAGTTTTCGAAATCTTAATAACTTTTAATTGAAAAACTTGGTTGGCTCAATTTCTGTCAAATATAATGTTTGTTAAAAGAACTTTAGTTGCAATATGCTACTTTAATTTAAATAAGTAACAATGACATATAGTGGGCAAAGCAAGATTCTTTCACCGCATGAGGGCAGCAACTAAATTTAATTGGCGTATTTTAAATATCTAGTAAATTAAGTATTTAAATTTAAAAAATGTATTTAAATACAAAATTGTTATTATTATTATTATTATTATTATTATTATTATTATTATTATTATTATTATTATTATTACTATTATTACTTCAATTTACATTACATTCATTAAATATCTACATAAAGTTTGTATTTATAAATTAAAAAAATAATTTTGTATTTATAAATATTGGTTAATAATTAACAATATTATAATATTATTCAATTATCATTTTTTACATTTTACGTAGATATAACATAGATAATATGTTTCATTGCAAGTTTTATTTTCGATTATTTTTGTTGTTATTTTCAATTTACTTTACCTGCTAATTTATTTTACTGAGAATATTAATAAATCTTTAATTACAAAAACGCTAATAACTTATTTTAAAGTATAATATTTATTATTATGCATATTTCTTTGTAACATTACTAACTTAAAATATATGTCAAAAACATAAATAAAGAAATTTTAAATAATAAAAATAAATTAATAAAATAATTTATCAAACTTTAAAAAATCCTAACTCAAGATTAACTGACGTCAATAAAAATTAAAATAAAAAAGTTTTTTTAAACTTTTGAACGAATGATCATGTTAATGTATGGACACTTGGTAATGACGACACGTTTTTACACATTAAAAAAATCAATCAATTTAATTCATTTTTTTGTCATGCTTCTAATTGCGTTTTTTAATTGTCTAGCGCGACACTTAAAATCTGAAACTGATTTAATTTTTTATTTTTTTTACTATGATTTTATTTTAACCTTTGAGAATATGAAACCAATTGGTAATACCACATTATACGCGGTGCCATCAGGCTGGTAAACACCCTGATATATATATACTGTCTTCTACGAATTAAAACTTTGGCATCTGTATAAAAAAACCCTTGCCAAAAAAAATAAGTGTTTTGTTTTAAATTGCAACAAAACTTTTTTGTTCATTAGTTTAACTTTAATGAAAAAAGGCTTTTTTTACCAGATATTTTAAAATTATTTTATCTTGTATTTATTCAAAGCATTATTTTCGCTATTTTAATTTTAAATAATAAAAAAATTAAAAAAATTTTAAATCGCGCGGGCTAATTTAAAAATGACCATCCTGCCAGCGCTTCTTCGATTGTGTGTGTGTGTGTGTGTGTGTGTGTGTGTGTGTGTGTGTGTGTGTGTGTGTGTGTGTGTGTGTGTGTGTGTGTGTGTGTGGTGTCTATATATATATATATATATATATATATATATATATATATATATATATATATATATATATATATATATATATATATATATATATATATATATATATATATATATATATATATATATATATATATATATATATATATTTATATATATATATATATTTATATATATATATATATATATATATATATATATATATATATATATATATATATATCCAAAGGGGACTACTTCATGGGGACTGAACTGAGATATGAAGAGGTAGCGGAGTAAACATATAGCAAAACAGTATTAAACTATATATGGTGCAGACTAAGATGAATAATTTTCAATTTTTTACTAAAATCTCTTAACAAATTTAACAAATATTATTTCATATCTTTTAATCAAAATTGATATAATTTAAGTTATACCTGACTAAAAATAAAAATACCTGACTAAAAGATTCTCTTTAAATGACTTTTCAGAAATAAACTTTGAAACTAGTGATTTTCCTATACCACTAACACCTTTTATGTAATCACATCCACATAACAATGCAATTCCTATCATATCATGGCGTGTAATTCCAATTTTATCTTTTATCTTTTCCTGAGTGTAAGTTGAAACACAAGGATTTTTTGGATCAGCACTAAAATCACGATAAATACATTTGCCTCCATATAAAAAAAAATCTCCATCATTTGTCAAACAGCCATCTGAAATTTTTTTAGAGTTTAAAAATGCACACATTTGCTCTGCTTCACCAGTAGCTCTAATGTATGGTATACCTAATAAATCTAAAAGTTCACAGCATTCCAATATTAAGGCTTGAAATCTGTTTCTACCAACAGTTGATGCAGTCCCTAATTTAACACCATACTGACAAAAGTTTCGATATCTCATAGTGTTTTGTTTTAAATCTGGTGCTTTACCTTCTATAACAATGATTAATTTGACACCAAACTTTCTTAAATAACAAATACGAAAAAACATATTACGAATGTGTGAATTTGCTACTGATTGTTTCAACTTTATAGCTTCAACAATCCATATGCTTAGATCAACTGTTATAACCTTTCCACGTAAAGAGTCTGGATTTGTTTTTTCTTTTGAACTATTAATGATATCCCATAAATATTTCACTCCCATTTTACTTTTCTATAAATATTTTGTCAAATTATTGAAAATACAATATATTAAAAAGACAGGTGTTATATAAAATAGACAAAACTAAATTGAAATGTAAAATCATAAATTAAAAAAATATCAACAACCATTATATGTAATTTAGTAGATAATAACAGTCTGTTAACTACTTTTATTCTTACCTTATGTTAACAGTTTTGATGAACTGAATTCAAACTGTTCAAACATAACAACACATTTCATTTTTTTACAGTTTAAATGTAATAATAATTTTTTCTATAGAATTACACATGTTTTTCTTCAGTTCAGTTTTATAACATATTGCTGTGATTTTATTATAGTTACTTCCGGTTTATTTTTAACAATAAGGATATAATAGGCAAAAAAATACCAGTATAAAAAGTGACTGAACCCAAAAAATATTGATACCAGGTGGATGCATCAATACCAAGCACAAAATACCCACAAAATATCATTAGCAAAAAGAGGCATTAAAAGTAAGATTTTCAGAAACGTCATTAATATAGATAAGGAACAACACAGGACTAAGGATGGAACCTTGTAGTACCCCAGAGGTTACTGGAAAAAAAGAGTGTTGCTCATCAAGGAGAACTTTAAAATTGCGGTTACACCATATTTAGCAAGCTTATAGAGAAAACCAGCATGTTAGATCTTCATTTTTGATAAATCAGGAGAAATATAACAGGTCACTGCTTCCATCTAATGATGAAATCTTTTAATTAGTCAGCAACAAGATCAAAATCCATATTTAAAGAGAAATAATAAGAAGAGTTCTAGAGTAAACTTTTTTAAAACTACGACAAGAATGCAAACAAGAATGGACAAATGTTGTTTGCAATAGAGTTTAAGTAAGAAATAACTTAAGCAAAGAAAGCAAAAGTATTTTATATGTCTAACAAAGGATTAACTTGTTTTTTTAGAATGATAAGAAAAGTGTGGTTTGTAAAAATAATCCAAGAAGCCATAAAAAAAAGGAAACAGTGAGAGGGTTCAGAATTTTATTGCTATTCATAAATATAGGAATGTCAATACTATTGAGATACTTTTGGGTATTGTTTATATTGTCACGTATTTTTGTGTTTTTATATTGTTGTGTATTTTTGTGTATTGTTTATGTTGTGTATTGTTTATAATGTTTATAATGTAGTGTATTGTTTATATTTCTATTTTTGTTTATACTGTCGTGTAATTTTGAATCGATTGCAAGCCCCAAGCTTTTACAGAAAAAAGATCAGATTCAAGATCAACAGCCTGTTCTAAGTAGTTAAAAAAGCCACATCTGCCTGGATCCAAGATGGTTACATGGAAGACGCATTTATCAGCAGAGAGATGAAAAAGATCAACCTAAGGACCATCACAAAGAAAATTACAAAAAGAACGCCAGTCAGCGTTAGAGTAGTAGTAAGTAGTGCAATGCACTAGGGTGAGTCTGAAGAAAAAGTATGAGATAAAAGATTATAGAGATCATTGCATGAACGAACCCACCTAATAGGAAGTGACCAGGGCCCCAGGCTCTGCTTTGACCATAGCCAAATATGGGTTTTTTTACAACGCTGGTCCCAGCCCCAGCTAAACAATAATTCTAGCATGGGTTATTAGCCAGGGCTACAATATTTTATCATATATATTTCATATTATATGTATATACATATATATATATATATATATATATATATATATATATATATATATATATATATATATATATATATATATACATATATATATATATATATATATATATATTTATAAATCTATATATATATATATATATATATATATATATATATATATATATATATATATATATATATATATATATATATATATATATATATATATATATATATATATACACTCATATATCAGCCCTTAGAATTAGGGTCAGCATTCAGCAATGCAGACCTAACTACCGACCTTAAAGTATTTGAACTCGTTTCTGTTTTATGCTAACCCCTTTGTCAACCTGATGCTGACGTCTAACAATTCAAGGTCAGTTAATTTATACTCACATAGATGTATATTCTTCTCTTTTCTGAGTTGCAATGTTTATTCAGAGGTTTCAAGTCACATTTTTAAAATATTTGATCTCTTTAGATAAAAATTTGTACCTGGCTGTTTTCAGGGGTGATGAATCCACTAAAATGATCAGAAATATAAAAAATTATTATCAAGTACCTGTATTTATCAATTTAAATAAATTTAGGCAGTTTTTTATATTTATTTTTATCTGTTTTTAATGCCCAAGAAATATGTGGGCTAGTTAATATAAAAAAAACGTATAACATTATTCTATATTAATTGATCTTTCATAAAACATAAGGATTTTGATCAGCAAATATATAGATTTCTATATATGGAGAACAGGGCATGGTCCTCTCTTTTTTGTAGCGGATTATTGCAATTGATTTTTCCCTAGCTTCTAGACTAGATGGAGCTCTGAAACTAGAGGGATTTATAATTAGACATTGCTGATAAATGTGCTTGCTAAAATTATTTCCAGGTCCCAAGACACCAGGAGGGGGAGCTGGGTCATGAGCCCCATTTTTTTTAGCAGAATCTTACAATAAATTTTTCACTACTTTCCAAACGAAGTGCGACTCTAAAAATTTTAGCATTTGTGTAGTCCAAACATGTGTTAAAATTGTTACCAGGGTAGATTACCAGAGGGTCCATGGGGCCGGGGCACCAGGCGCCATGCCCAACGTCGACTGGTTTATACTTGTACTGTTTTATTTAACTATTTACAAAATAAATTACAAAAAATAAAGATTTCTTTGGAAGCATCAACGGTCAAAGTATATATATGTCCAGTTGTGCATCAATGATATTAATTGTGTTGGTAATTAAAACCTAACACTCATCTGCTCTAGATGATCAGAAAAGTTTGTTAAAAAGGCTGTCTAGGTTTCTTAAAAATTTGCCATAACATCTTTAACAGATGAAAAAATTTTAACAATCTGCCATCATCGTGAAAAGATTTCAATATTTTATTTATCATATCAATTCAATCAAATGTATCATATTTAAACAGAATAAACTCACCAAATGTTGATGTATCGATGTTAACTTGCTGAGCTTTAAATACCATAAAAAGAAAAATGCCTGTTATATTAACATATTCACTTGTTCACTTCAAGCTTTTTCTTAATGCTTTTTTCTTATTTTTTTTTTTATCCATTTATTCAATCACAAAATTGAAAAGAATTACAGATTTACTTATAATTTTACAAAATTAGGTTGGGTGTCACTCATATAATAAAAAACTAGTCATTGGAATGACACCTTAATAAAATAAACAAACAAAGCAAAAAACAAACAAACAACAAAAAGTAATAATATAGATAGTGACCAAAAAATAATTATAATAAAAAGAACAATAACTATTAAAAAAAGCTAGACTAATAACAAAAAGGGAAAAATTGAATGAACATAAGAGATGATGAATGAATGATATAACACAATGTTTAAAAATCAGATTCTGATCTTTAAATGTTGTAAATCATTAAATAAATAAATGTTAAAAATCAACTCAAATAAATGTTTTTAAATCATTAAATGTTGTGTTATGTCATTCGTTCTGAGAGTGATAGAAAGTTAAATGAAAACAAAAAGATATAATTAAATATTATGATGAGACAAAAAAATATAAAATCACTTGAATAATAGCAATCAAGGTAAAACGCAACAATAACAAAAATAATTAGCAACATCACAAAAAAAAAAAAAAAAGAAAAAAAGGGCGACAATACAAACAATACACATATGAACACATCAATATAACAATACACATATGAACACATCAATATAAACGTTGCACAAAATTACACAACAGTATAAACAAAAATAGAAATATAAACAATACACAACATTATAAACATTATAAACAATACACGACATTATAAACAATACACAAAAATACACAACAATATAAAAAACACACAAAAATACGCAACAATATAAACAATACACAAAATTACCAACAATATAATCAATACACAAAAATGCATGACAATATAAACATTGCAAACAATGTAAATTAATAAAACTTAAAAAATGGTTGTTTTTAGTTTTGTTCTCTTTTGATAGTTTATTAAAGTTTTTTATTTTCCAATATCTCAAGAACAGATAAATTTTTTTTTTAAAGCTAATAGTATTTATAGATTCTTAAATTGATGATTGCTCTTATTTGCAGAAATTTACTTTTGTTAAAATTTTATTATCTGTTATTCCAGATCTCCAAATTGGTTCTTTTTTAGCATCTTCCTTATAATAATCAAATCTTCTAAACCAGTCTTTCTACAATAAATTAGTTTATGACAAGTATCATTTGATAGTTTTCCAAAATCACACAAATCCATTCTTACTGTAAAACTCCTAAGTTGCATTTCAGATTAAACTAAAAATGAGAAAACAATAGTAATTAATACAATTAAAGCAACTTAAACACCACGATAATGGAACATTAAACAAATAATAATGTAATGATATTAATTTAAAGTAGATCTGAGAATGTTGAATTAAAGTCTTACAAAAAGAAATTCTAATGAATTTTGAGAAAGATAGGACTCAAGGGTTAAAAAGTTAATTTGAAGTCCACAAATTTTGCAAAGGATAGATTAAAGCAATTTGGTGGAAATTTGATGGCTTTTTTTTTATTTTTATTTTAAGCTGTTTGTTCATTTTTAATTTGATAGATATTTTGATCATAGAGATAATGGTATTAATATAAACAAAACACAAAAATACACAACAATATAAACAATACACAAAAATACATGACAATATAAACAATGCAAACAATGTAAATTAATAAAACTTAAAAATTGTTATTTTTTTGTTTTGTAAATTAATAAGCAGGCAATGGAAAATTAAACAGAGATTGATTTTTTTTACTTTTTTTTTTAATGTTAAAGATAATCTTTTGTCTCTTTAACAAGGCTGTTTAATTGAAATTAATTTCTTAATGTTTAAAATAATAATGATGAATTTAATAAGTAGTACATTTCTTCTATACAAGTACATTCTACATGAACATGTCAGGATGTTTTTTTTATAGTTCTTTTTTAACAAAACAACTTGTTGTTTTAGAATTAACTAATGTCAATTACAAAAAAGCTAGTATAAAACAAAAAAATTATTAAAACAAATACTTTTAAAGTTATCTTTGCTTTGTTAAAGTTAAAAAAATAATTTTTTTTTTGAGAAAAGTTGGGCATGGCTTGCGGTGCCCCTGCCTCATGGACCCTCTGGTTGCCTACGCTGGAAACAATTTTAACACATTCACCAAGACTACACAAATGCTAAAACTTTCAGAGCTTTTGTTTGTCTGGAAAGTAGTGAAAAATCTATCGCTAAATTTTGCTACAAAAAAGTGGCCACATGACTAAATCCCCTCTGGTTTCTTGGGCCCTGGAAACAATTTTAACATACATATTTATCAGCACTACATAAATTCTACAAGTTTAAGAGCTCCAGTTATTCTGAAAGTTACTGTGACTATTTCAAAGGGCTCAAAAAAATTTTATTTGTCTAGTTTTTTTCCTCAAACATCAGATCTTTGGAATTTGCTCCCTTCTTCTTGTTTTCCTGATTCATATAATTTGCAATCTTTTAAGTCATCTGTTATCATTATCTTGCTTTATAAACTTCATCTTTTCTCTTCCAGTAATTTCTAACTCTAATAGCAAAAAAAAAAAAAAATGGGGACTGTGTCCTGTTATCCATATATTTTTTTATTTTTTTTTATTATTCTTTTATTTGTTATTTTAAAGTGCCCCAAGAAGAACTAACGGTCTTGTCACAGAGCACCGCAAAAGTGCATTTAACCAGGAAGTTCACACCTCCTTCTTTACTGTGAAGCAAACCACTTCACCACTTATATAGATTAAAAGGTGGTGAGGATGGTTTTTTAAGTTTAACATTTTTGGTTACTTAGGTCAGAATTTAAGTTAAATAGACTTGTAGATATGATTATGATAGAGCATGGTATCACATGCTCATAGATAGAACATGGTAACACATACTTATAAATAGATATATTGGTTTTCTATTAGAAATATCATTTTTTTTTTTTTTTATATTATCATTTACATTTTAGTCTATTGTTTTTTGTCATTTTTGTTTAAAATTTTAATTTTAATTTTATATTATATATTTATCTTATTTTATTTATATGTATACATATATATATATATAAATTTATACATATATATATATATATATATATATATATATATATATATATATATACATATATATATATATATATACATATATATATATATATATATATATATATATATATATATATATATATATATATATATATATATAGAGAGAGAGAGAGAGATATATATATAGAGATATATATATAGATATATATATATATATATATATATATATATATATATATATATATATATATATATATATATATATATATATATATATATATATATATATATATATTATATATTAGGCTAAATCAAAAAAATGATTATTATATATATATAAATTATATATATATAATAATATATATATATATATAAAATTATACATATATATATATATATAAATTTATACATATATATATATATATATACATATATATATATATATATACATATATATATATATATATATACATATATATATATATATCTATATATATATATATATATATATATATATATATATATATATATATATATATATATATATATATATATATATATATATATATATATTATATATTAGGCTAAATCAAAAAAATGATTCGAAATGCAATTCAAAAATTTTCAAAAATTGAATCCTTACTTATTTTGTTTTTGTTGTGGGTATTTTTGATATTCTGCACTTTGGCGCTATCAAAAAAACTTATCCTTAAATACCTTTTTAATCAGTCATTAAAAAGGTTAACCAGGGCAAGAAGCATCAATGAAGAGGTTATACAGTTTTTTTTTGTTTTATTTTATTTATAAAAATTGATTAAATTTAGACTTCAAAATGTAGATTCAAAACGTGATTTGAATCGCGAATCAAGACCTGCTTTGATTCGAGATTTGAAACAAAAACTGCCAATTCGCAGGGCCCTAACATTTATATATATAATTAAAAATAAAAAAACCTTCTCATTCATTCCACAAATTAAAAAACTAGTTGTCATTCATTATGTTAAAACATTTGTTTTTAATGTTAAGCTATTATTAAAATTATTTGATGAACATTTGAGGAACTTGTAAAACAAGACAGATAAATGGTATGTTAAATAGGAGAATGACTGTCTTTTTATAAATATCATCTATAAACATATTTTTTAGGTGATATTTCTTTAAATGTTAAAGTTAAAAGTGTTTAAAGTAGTTAGTTAATATAAAATAAAATAAAATAATAAAATGTTTGGTTTTTTGAGCAGTGGTAAAATAGCAAACAAGGTATTTTTAAGTCTTGAATTTCATGTTAAATAAAAGAATGAAAACTCTCCTTTATTAAATATCACCTAAAAATAAATTTTTAAATTTATTGTTTATTATATATATATATTTATTTATTGTTTATTATAATTACTATTTATTTTAGTTAACTACTCAAACAGTTTGTATATATTATATATATGCTTTAATACAAGGAAAAATATGTTTGCATTTACTTTTACTTTTTTGTTCTCTGATTTCTGCTGGTGTATGGCATTGTTTATCTTCCAATACATTTTGTTTTTCAAACTTATTTATAGTTAATTCATTGGTGGTGATTTTCAATTTGTCGATTACTGAAGTATGGGTTGCTATTTTGTTCATTACTGTAGACAATAATGGTTCACCAGCAGATGATTCAACAGACACAGATGCAACCTCCTGCAATGTTTTCTTTGCTGGAATGTTTGTCCAATAGCTCAGATTCTAGGTTTTTTGTTTTTCTACAACCATTATTAACTGATTTAATTTCGTTTGCCATGAAGATGGTTCCGATTTTAATTTGCTCCATAAAGTCTGCACCTTTCACAGTGGGCCCAAAAGGCAAAGTTTTGGAAATAGGATCATAACTAATGATTAAGAAATCCTAGAAA